ATTTTGAACAATATTTCTATTATAAATATGACAAACTTATTTACATCTTTAACATTTACTTATAATCAAAATAAATATAATAGTAAATATACTAAAACTAATCTATAATTTTATTTAAATACGCTGAAAGAATTGATATAATTAAATATTTTCAATTAGTACTTAAGGTTTCACATATTATGACTTAGTCCTTTTTTTATATTGCATGTTGCACATAATCTAGACTAGGAAAAACATTAATTCAACTACGTACGATATCAGCGTATCATCTGCGTAAATCATAAATATCGCACGACTCCGACATAGCTTCCTATGGGGAACAATGGGTCAATACGGCGAAATAAATCAGGTGGCTTCGAACCCTCCCTCCGCTTTGTCGGTAAATGTGATCTTTGTGATCACAACTTCCTGTTATTGTTCGTATAATCGATGACTACTTCATTTATTTCATAACTTTCGCAATAGAAGATTGAAGTATTTTATATGTAAAAATAGTAATTTTAATCTATATACGTATAATGTATTTTGTATATAATACGAGTAAATAGGCAAAGTCAAAACAGTTTAGTACCTTCTTCTTCTCTGTTTGTTAAGCGATTTTCTTTTTTTTTTATTTAGTAGCTATAGACGAGTTTAAGTGTGATTATAAATAAAAAAATGTTTAAAAAAGTTTTTATAAACATAGATAAAGACAAAACACGTCAGTATTATTATTTATAAATTTTCAATAACGTTTTGGTCCAATTTCGATCACTGGTCAAATACTAGTATAAATAAATATATTATATTGTACCATTATTTATAAGCAGTGAGCAATATGAAATTTTCTCTCGGCAATATAAGGTTAGACATTAATCTTCATATTTCTAATATCAAATACCTACTCGATTATTTTAGCCCCTTTATGGGATTTATACAAATAATATTATGCAGTTCTGTATAAACCTTACTTGACTTGCAAGAAAGACAGCAAAAATATGTCTGTCACATGAACGATCAAATTATTGGCCACTGCAAACTGGACATGGACGATGCACCTGCTTCCGACAAAAATGGAGATAGATTAATTCTGGTCTTTGCCAGTATGGTGAACAGGATTAAGCCATGGACCACATTATCCAGACTTGGCTTTTATTCTCCTACAACAGATCTCCAAACGATTTATTCACGCTGGTGCCAAATTTTATCTCCTGGCTAAAAGAACTTAATGAAAATTTGTAACTTATTTTGCCTGTATATGTCATATCTATACTAATATTATAAAGAGGTAAAGTTTGTGTGTTTGTGAGGTTGTATGTATCTGTTGTAACCGATTTAGATGAAATTTGGTAAGAAGATAGTTTGAGACCTTGGGAAGGACATAGAATATAGGACATACTTTTTATCCCGGAAATCATCCCTTAAGGGGGTGAAAATGGAGATGAAGCAGTTGACAGTGATCCTTATAATCTGTGTGCCAACAGACATGTTCCTCAAATTACTCGTAACTTATGTTAACTTAGTGTGATTAAAGAAAAGTTGCTAACTTTTTGAAGAGTGGGTAACAGATTCCAAAGCAAACATTGCCATCTTCTTCGGCAAAATTACGCTTGAAGTATTAGGTGTACGAATAAAATGTAATCGTTTTCCTTAGTTACAGTTAATCAAATGTATAAGTTCGAAGAAATATAACTTACGTGGTACAGAGAAGAATTGTAATCGAAAATGCTACATCTGAAATCAATTTCACTACAGAAATGCCCGTTCGTATTTCCGAGTTCGAAAATACACTGACGGGTCAGTGGGCACGGTGCAAGTTAGAAACTATTGCCTTATACTCGTAGTTGATCTTGTTCATACTCCCGAAACTTACGCATTTACTTCTATATCGTGTATCTTTTTCTTTGCCCAACGATAATATGGGACAGTTAAAAATGTAGTATCTGTATTGTAGTAAATTAAAAAATATTACCTGCAATTTTTATATATTGCTTATTCTAGTTCTATAATCAGTTTTGATTACCTGTTTTTTTTTAATAAATTCCATTGAAAGCATTCCGGCCATTTTTAGCGATGTTTTATAAAGTAGACGGATAGATAGGAATATTTAGACCATAATTGTTTATAACAAAAAAGACTTTAGCCAAAAAGGTACGCTGACTTGAAAAAAAACTTTAAGAGGAAAGAAATAAATAATGCTACAGGTATAAATTTATTAAAAAAAACTTGAATAAATAAAAAAAACTTGAAAAAAAATGAAATCATCATCAGACCTTCTTTGAAGTCGGTTTTAACTATTATTAAAATTCAACAAGTATAAACTAATAATTACATTAAAGGAAATCGACAGAATTTGTATGAGAATTGGTCGCTTTTTAAGCATCGTACCACAATGAAACTATTTGCATACCACAGATTTTCATGTTCACTCGGATTTTAATTAACAATTTATCAAATTGCAGGGTGGTTAATTCTAATTTCTAATTTATATAATTATTATGTATTAACTAGAGTACGCAAAAAGGTATTTAGGGAAATATATGAACGACGCATTTATATCCCTATATACCTTTTTTCGACAATGAATATAAAACATTAATAATTTTTTGCTTTAATTGATTTTTATAGGAGTCGAACCTACGGTCTTCAAGATATCAAGATTTACTTTGTTATTTTTAATAATCAAAACGCTTCATACCCCCCATATGTACCGATTACAAACTATGAAATTATAAAGAAGACTCGCTCCACTGTAGCGGCTAATATAATTTTTTCCGCGCCTAAGTAGTAGAAGCTCAGGTCAAAGTTTTTACGTGATGTTTCGAAATTTTGTTAGCCTTATTCGATGGGGATTATCGGGGCTCAACTTTATATTTCTATCGCTTTCATACTCACTTCTTTATATACGATAGAGGGATACAAAAATATTAGAAAATACCGCTATAATGGACAAAGATCAATTTTTCTTTTTATTTTCGCATTGTAAATTAAAAGATCTTGCCAGTATCGTGAGGATTTAAATCTGAGCGAATTTGTAGCACGTACTTCTTTCTTTGAGAGAAATAAAACTAAAAAGTTTTAATAATGTCTTTAGTTTCTCGTATTGTAACGTAGTGTTTTAGAATTTTTATTTTCTTTAAATGTCTTCTACATAGCTTTTAAACTGTAGATCTATTTAAGTTTTTAATGGAGAATAACACAAGTTACTATAAATTATATTATTATACTAATATATAAATGTGAATTTTTTTGAATGAGTGAGTGAGTAGTGAGTGAAAAAATGTTTATATTTGTTACCTTTTCACGCTATAACGTGTTAACCCCCCTTCAATGCGAACATACTGCAATTTTTTTGAAAACTGGTTAGATTCTCTTAGAAAGGTTTCCCACCGTTGTTTTCTTTAACTGTAAAGCAAGTGGTAGATATCTTGAAAACTATAATTACCACTTGCTTTTTCATTATACATGATAATATTAAAGGTTCAGAGTTTGAATCCGCTTGGGCTGATGAGAACTGGACTACCACTCCCTTTAAAATAAATTTGTGCATTATTTTGAGGAAAACATTTGCTCAGCTCTATTAAGAATATATTTTATATTAATATGTATATAACAAAAGTAAGTTATAAAAAGTTTATTCACAAGTGTAAATCTTTGCCAGAAAATAAAGTGTCCATTTCGCTTTGCTTAATCGCTTACTACCCGAGTACGTGGTCCAGCCCGTAGAGTTAGAAAACGAAAAAAAATACTTTGATTTACACACTCCCATATATTTGTCACATTTGATGACTACGAACTAAACAGAATAATAAATATATATTTCAACCAAGCTTAGTCTATTCAAAAAAATATGACAATCAAATAATAAAAAATATCTAACAAATAATCAATGTCATGAATAATGGAGTACTTTCAAATAAAATGTCAACAATAGGCCCTTTGTGTTACGTTTAAGAGGAATTGTTGACTGATTTTGTAAATAAAAACATCAAATACGTTTGTAAAAGATACCTTCGAAGCTTTAGCAATCTTTTGATTATAATATTGATATTATTTTTTGTTCTATTGTTTTTAAAAGAATTTGTATAGCTCGCTGCTATTATATGGCCAATAAAGAGAATATTTTTGCCTTTGCATTTGTTTCCAATTAAGGATACAAATATCTCAGTCTTGTTAAATAAAATATCATCCAATTTATATGTAACAGTGTGCAGGAAATGGAGAAATTAATATTATATCAGCAAGTTATCTCGATCCGTTTCATCGATCGTGTATTAAAAAGAGCGTGTGGATAAGGTGCTTCTCCTCCATAAATGTTGGTAATAATGCACTTGTTTTTAATTTATTTCGTTATTTTAATAATTAGTTTGCATGGTTTCAGATGATGACAATATGGGTTTACGTCCCATATTGAGCTAAAGTCATTCAAAGAAGATCGCGTATTACATACTCGTAAAAAATAAATTTAGTCAACCTATGTGTGAAGGAAATATTTACGATCTAGTTAAATTAAAAGCATCACAAGTCACCAATTTCTCCGTCTCTCCACTAACAATTCAACTAATTCTTTCCAACTATATATATATATATATATATATATATATAAATGTATACTAAACTAGTTTTTACTTGTTACTTCGTGTGTAGGCCGTAACGGGACTTTAATAAAAGTAGTGGACTGTATATAAAGTACGTATAATCAAATTAAGAGTTTTGGGGAAGTGTCCGTAGTCCAGCGCGCAGGTAGGCGAAGTGGCGCGATCAGATGCGCTCGCGGTCGGGGAGGGTCCCCCGCCCGCGCAGCTCATACGTCACGCGCCCGGTAAGAGGGAGACGCGCCGACATATTCCCCGGGTTGAAGAGATCTTCAAGATTCAATCGGAAGAGGGCAGATGCAGTTGAAGGCACGACGCACGGTACCCTTCTTCGTCTTCATCTCAGCTACTCGCGTGACTCCGTCGACGCCGGGATAGGTCTTCGTGACCCGACCCAGGGACCAGAGCAACGGTGGTGTAGCTTTATCCTTGATGAGGACCAGGGATCCAGGCTTCACTTCCCCTCTGGAATCAAACCATTTCGATTTGGCCTGTAGTAATGAAATGTACTCATTATGGAATCTCCTCCAAAAGTGCTGTCGGATGAATTGGATTCTTTTCCATCGGTCGAGCCTCGTTATATTGGCATTAGTCAGCAGGGGGTAAGGAACAGATAAGAGTGGTCGTCCAATTAGGAAATGAGAGGGAGTAAGTGCCGAAAAATCTTTAGGGTCTGATGAAAGAGGAGTAAGAGGGCGCGAATTCAAGACCGCCTCTATATGAGTGAGACAGGTGGCCATCTCCTCAAACGTAAAATGAGTTAAATGCAATAATCTTTTTAAATGATGTTTGCACGATTTAACAGCAGCTTCAGCTAGTGAATTAAAGTGGGGGCTATATGCTGGCGTGAAATTAAATTCGATACCCTCCTGAGCTATCTCAGATGCAACATTAGACGATCGTAAAAACCTAAGTAAGTCATTTGATGCGCCTACGAAATTCGTCCCGTTATCGGACGTGATGCTTCGAGGCTTGCCTCGACGCGCCACGAAACGATTTAAAGCAGCCATGTACGCGTCGGTGGTGAGGTCGGAGACGAGTTCCAAATGTACAGCTTTCACTGCTGAGCAAACAAAGATGCACATATATGATTTTATGAGTTTGCTGCCGCGACCTTTCCGATCGGCGATCAATACTGGCCCTGCGTAGTCAACATAACAATGTAAAAATGGAAATTCAAGATGAGTCCTTGAATGTGGAAGTTGACCCATTATAGGCTGAACATTTTGAGCCTTGTATCTGAAACATTTAAGACACTTGTTCACGACAAGTCTAGATAAGTTTCTACCTCCTAGGGGCCAATATGTTTGTCTTATATGTGACAAAAGCAATTGCGGACCTGCATGTAAAAGTTTTAAATGTTGCATTTGAAATATAAGTTTAGTTAATATATGTTTGCTACAAATTACAATGGGATGTTTCACACTAAAATCGTAGGGGGAATTATCAAGCCTCCCGCCCACGCGAATGAGGTTTTGATCGTCTATGAACGGAGTTAAAGGAAGCAATTTACTTTTGCGAGGTAATTTTTTACCAGACTTTAAGAGATTATATTCTTCAGGAAACATTTCAAGTTGTGAATAATGTATAATCAAGTTTAATGAATTTTGTAGTTCTGCATTTGAAAGACTACCACGTGATTTAATTTTATTTTTTAAGTTGTTAATAAATCTTTGTACATAAGTAATTATAATTTGAATTTTTGTTAAGCTAGAATGTTTTTGTAATAAATTATGAATGATAGATGAATTAATGTTTATGTCTGAATTATGAATGACGTATGAATGATTGTTTTCGCTACTATCACTACTAATGAAATTAGATACTACTTCCGGCAAATCGTGTTTCTCTGTATTTGGCATTTTGGGCCATGCATTTTCAACGTGAAATAAAAAGGAGGGACCAGACCACCATAGAGGTGTGTCCTTAATTACGTCGGCCCGAAGACCACGGGAAACAAGATCCGCCGGGTTGTCATTCGACGGTACGTAGCTCCAGGTATGACCACACGTGCTCTCTTGAATCTCATGGACTCTATTCCTAACAAAAGGTTTTAATTGTTTAGAAGGAGTGGAGAGCCAACCCAATACTATTGTAGAGTCACACCAGAATCTACAGTTATGAATTGGTATGGTAAGCGATTCTAGCACCTTAGTATACAGTCTTGCACCCAACAAAGCCCCACAAAGTTCAAGCCTTGGAATCGTCGTAGGTTTTATGGGCGCTACACGGTTTTTAGAGACTAAAAGGTGTACCCCTGTGGTTCCAATACTATTACAGGAACGAATGTACACACAAGCGCCATACGCTTTTTCGGAGGCATCTGTAAAGACGTGTACTTCGTGCATAATAGAGTCTTCATGCAAAACCCAACGAGGTATTTTTAAATGATTTAAAGATGTAATTGTATTTTCATACGTAGACCAAAGGTTTTTAATTTCGACCGCTATTTCGTCGTCCCAGTCATATTTATCAAGCCAAAGACGCTGCATGATAATTTTTGCTTCGACAACGCAAGGACCTACGAGGCCTAATGGGTCAAAGATCTGACTGATGACAGAGAGGACATGGCGTTTAGTGATCTTAGTTGAAGGCGTAATGTTAATAGAGTATGTAAGTAAATCTAAATCACATACCCAATTAAGCCCTAGAGTTTTAGACTGACTGAAATGTTGACTTTGCTCTGTAAACTGTAAAATATTATTTGTTTCATTGCATTGTGTAATTTGCTTAAGAATATCTGGATGATTGGATCGCCATTTACGCAAGTTAAATTTAGCAAGAGACAGAACCGATTGTACCTTTTTTGAAATTTCGACAGTCTGGGCTATGGTACTTCCCCCACTTAGATAGTCGTCTACGTAAAAATCTCGCCTTATAGCGGATTGAACACGATTATCCTCTACATCATCAGCCAAACTTACTAAGCACTTAGTGGCTAAATAGGGAGCAGATGCGGTACCATAAGTGACCGTATTTAAAGTATAGGTATTTAGAGGCTCTGATGAATCATATCGGAAAACGATTTTTTGAAGATTTCGTTGGTTTGGATTAAGTTCTATGGCTCTGTACATTTTTTCTACGTCACCTGAGACCACATATTTATGCTGACGAAAACGTGTTAATATGCTAAACAGATCGTCTTGAACTACGGGACCGACCATTTGAATGTCGTTAAGAGACACCCCCGTACTAGTAGGGGCTGATGCGTCGAATACTACGCGTAGTTGTGTAGTGGTGCTAGAGGTGCGAACTATTCCATGATGTGGAATGTAATGTTTAACCTCCGAGTCTTCAGAGATGGAAACATGGTCAGAAAAAGTAACTAGTGACATATGACCTAGACATTCATATTCACGCATGAACTCGTTGTATTTAAGTTTGAACGAAGGATCACGTTTGAATCGCCGCTCTAGAGATAAAAACCGTTTTTTCGCGTTTTCATATGAATAACCTAGAGTGCTAAGATCCCCCTTTAAAGGCATAGTAACAACGAACCCACCATCAATGTTACGGACGGTGGTTTGAACAAATATTTGTTCACACATTCGTTCTTCAAGAGAGTGCGAATGTTTTAAAGAGACATTGTCAAGCTCCCAAAATCGAGTTAAGTCGGGAGTGACGCTGGAATGGTGGCAAAAATGGGAAAAAGAAGAACTTTGGTTCGAAATGCTACCTGAAACTAGCCATCCAAATTTAGTTTCAAATAATTTAGGTCGATTTTTTCCTAAGTTTATGGAGTTTTTGCCTAACACACTCCAAAATATTTCAGCCCCTACCAGGATGTCTACAACCGACGGAACGTTAAAGTTCGGGTCTGCTAACTTAAGACCTGAAGGAATAGGGACATGTTCGATGTTCACGTATGAAGACGGTAAAAACTTTGTAATTTCAGGCAAAATATGACACTCGACATCGACAGTAAAGGCACAGCATAAAGACTCTATTGTGAGATTACAAGACTGTGTACTGGTGGATATATGATTATTTAAACCTGTTACCTTGGTGCTCGCACCGCTTAGTGACAAACCCAGTTTCTCTGATAAGCTTTGCGTTATAAAATTCGCCGTACTACCGTTGTCCAGCAATAGACGGGCTGCGTACTTCTTACCGGTCGCGCTGATCACGTTCACCATAGCTGTGGACAGTAAAACATGCGCAGAAGTAGCAAGCTGCATAGAAGTAGCTGATAGCATAACATTTGATGCGGAAGGCGAAGCAGAAAGCCATGGTTTGGAAGATTGTTTGGGTTCAGTAGATTCTAAATGCAATAAAGTATTATGTTTTGTTTTGCAATATTTACAATGAGATAGTTTGCATTGCTTAGCAGTATGTCCAAAGCGTAAGCAGTTAAGACAAACATTATAATCATTAGCTTTTTTAATGCGATTTTCAATTGATAAGATTCTGAAAGATTCACATTTATACAACGAATGAGATTGGGAGCAATGAGGACATTTAATAAAGTTATTATAATTATTGTTTTTAGATTTTTTATTAATTTGAGTAGTGTTTAAGTTTACCTGATTATTATTTAATGCATTAATATTACAAGGATTAGAATTATTACTTGAGTTAGCATCAGGTTCAACGGATACTAACCAGTCTGCTTTCCTACTTAAAAATGAACAAAATTGTTTTAAGGTAGGATCATCCTTAATTGTAAGACTCCTATGTTCTTCCCAGTCACGACTAGTAATAAAGTCTAATTTTTTAACTAAAATGTGTAAAAGCAATGTGTCCCAAAATTGAACGGGCTGTTTAAGTTTTGTTAATGCTCTTACATTTTTGTTTATAATGTCTACTAAATTTCTAATAGGGATGCTCGATTGTTTCAATATTGGCTCGATATCAAAAAAAGCTTGGATATGATTGCTTATAAGAATGCGACTATTGTTATACCTCTCACATAACAACTCCCATGCAATAGTATAATGGTCACCCCTAAAATCAATATTTTCAATAATAAGAGCTGCACTTCCGTGCAATGAAGCTCGTAAATAATGAAATTTAGTGATGTCATTTATACTCGCGTTGTTGTGAACTAGTGACGTAAATGTTTCTCTAAACTCGAGCCAGCATTGATAGTTCCCATCGAAATGAGGCAAATCTATTTTAGGCAAACGAACAAAATTGGAAGTATGTGCACCTGAGTCAGCATCTTTGAAGCCCGCCTCAGACCCAGCACCGTTGAACGAAACGCCGAGCAGGCTGCGCGTGAGTGCCACCAGGCTAAAGAACTGGCGATCAAAGTCCTCACGCTCAGTTAACGCAGACTCGTCGTCGTCAGCGAGCACCTCGATCTGAGTCTGTAAATCGTCGAAAGTATCATAAAGGGTTTCGAATTTAATCAAACGCTCTTGTAAGTCTGAGCGTTGCAATGCAGAAATCTCTGGGCTACTTTTAATTAAATTTAAATAATTATTAAAACAGTGACCTTTGATTTTATTGAGCTACGTTTTTTAATCAATGTTTTATAATTATCTGCCATTTTAAATAAATAAGTTAAATGCAAACGCTAATGACTTACGTATAAAAAATAAAAACTAAAGAAACAGATGTGCGAGAACAATAGGCCCGATAAGCTAATGACTCGGTCAAGGTCAAGAATGACACCTGCGTATTACGTAGTTATTAGCAATTTAAATAATTAAGAATTAACGTATTTGTTCTAAAGCTGTGCATATGAATAATGACGTGGAAGATTTAAAAATGATTTTTGGCGTAAAAAGAAAATAGGAATAACTAATTGGAACAAACACACTCAAATACTGTTATAATACTCCCTGAATGACTTCAGCCTCCTTTGGATGACGCTGCAGGCGGCTACGGCAACGACTTCTTTTTTCTTTGTTTGAAAAATGTGCTTGTCACCTTGTCACCTTGTCACGGTCAAAGTACTACCGTTGACCGCGCTGACGTCGACGACTTGATTTTCGTAGGAATCAACGTTTTGCTCGTAGGACCACAACTTTGTGTAGGCCGTAACGGGACTTTAATAAAAGTAGTGGACTGTATATAAAGTACGTATAATCAAATTAAGAGTTTTGGGGAAGTGTCCGTAGTCCAGCGCGCAGGTAGGCGAAGTGGCGCGATCAGATGCGCTCGCGGTCGGGGAGGGTCCCCCGCCCGCGCAGCTCATACGTCACGCGCCCGGTAAGAGGGAGACGCGCCGACACTTCGCCTGCGTAATAGACATATTTGTTAAAAGAACTCAGAGTATTAACTATCTATAATCCAAATTTTTCGAAACTATTGATATGCCATTCTCATACGATAAAAAGTTGTATATACACACAAATACATACACACACGCACACACATAAATTAGTATTATATATAATATTATTATACCGATATAACTTTCTCTTTTATTCTCATCACAATGTAAGCACAAATCTAATACAATTATCGAAAACAGATAATGTGAAAAAAATATCCACAAACAAAGATCCCCTTTACTTCTTAAGAACCAACTGGATCTGAACTTCACTAATTTAATTTTTTCTCTTTTCCCTCTAGCATACATATTAGTTACCAGAATCAATAGAATAATACTATAATCTCAATGAAACGCCAACCATTGCGGGGTGTCTATGTACAATATTGCGATATTTCTAAGAAAATCAGCAATGGTTGTGTTGCAAGTCGGTAGTAATTACCTTCTAAGTTATATAAGTACGGGGCAGAAAAGGGATTTGGGCTACTACTTCGTATTCGTAATACAGCACCACTATTTATCTCTATACATTCACGTCACGTAATAAATCGGTATTATTTAATTTACTTATATGAAGATGCCGGCCATAGTAAGTATTTACTTTGGTAATTGATTATGTCGTTTTTATTGATTTTATCGTTCGCATCTCGATTTTTGGTAATATTTGACCAATCATTTATACAGTGTTTTCAAATTGTATATTTGGAATCCTTACTACTTTTACAAATGAAAGTGATTTTTGTCCGTCTTGTTGATTTCTCGTCGTAAAGCAATGGAGTGTTATGAATGCTATGATTTTTTTTAAATAAATATTTAGTTTTCTTAAAGTAATGGTGGTTATTAATATAATTCAAGAAATTATTCTAAAACATCTTAGGATGAATTGGACCCAGTTTTCTGTCGATATTTGCACCTGGGTTATGTTTTCTTTTTCTGGTTATTTTAAAATTGAACAATATTTATAAAAGTATTGATTATTTTTTATAATTATTTAATTTTTTATAATAAAATGCTTATAACTCTGTTGGTGCTTTTACGCACATGGCTGTTTTTTGCATAACTGGGTCCAATGAAATGTTATAAAAGAGAATTTGAAATCAGTATAACTTTTTAGCTAAATTTATGTCAAGACCGTCAACTAGCAACTTACTCTTGCTTCTCCCGAGTGCGTACTTTAGGTGTCTAAAGGTAGCAGCATCCAAGTCATGGTACATCTGGGCAGAACATTCAGCAGAAATAGAAGACGTGAAGCGGATTTAGAAGACGTATCGTTGCCGATAGCAGACTTAACGTGCTATACCTGCAGTGATAAAACGGCAGGCCATAAGTAAATCCACGCTTGGCAGTACAAACTACACAGTGCAGTGTTGACACTAGCTTTGTCATACGGAAGCGAAACAAGTCCGATGTGGTTGAAGTATTACCACAATATTAATAAATTCAGTTTTTTAGAAAACTGTCAGCATTAAAACAAAAAAAAACACAAAGTTTTAAGTTTTATGGTAATGGCACGTGGTCCAGAGAAGCTGAAAAGAGATAAGTGAAGAAGAGGAGAAGAGATAAGTCAAGGTGACGACAACTGGAGGAGGATTTTACCGCACGAGCGGTGCTTGAAGCCAACACAAAATAAAAAAAAGACAACAAATTAAAAAACCTAATAGATGTATTAAAAACAATTAAATAATAATAATGCAACCATTTTTATTAAAAAACACTTTACATAGGAAAGCTCTGTTTATTTAAGTTGCAAGAAATAATAGCTGGTTTATTATTATTCTTATACGCCATTATAGGTTAAAAATATAAACAGACGGAACCACATGCAGCCGCTAGTTCTATTTTCGTATTATTTTACATTTCTAAAGAAGTACAAAAGGAGCAACCTCTAGCCGTACAAATAAAATAATAACTCGTCCGCTCTCGCACGTAAACACTTCAACATAATCTGTTTTTAATTACTTCCTACAATTTCAGAGTTATTATTGTAAGTGAACTTGTTTTGTTAATAAGAAATTCAAAACACAGTAATATGTATGTATGTATAATGTATGTATACTCAAGGCAGTATTTTGGCCGAATTTGGCCACGGCGGTCACTCTATTTTCTGGATCTATCTGCGCACAAGATACTCAAATATAGATGCACTCATTGTTGTATTCATGCTCTTAGTCCAATCGGATAACACCAAGACGACCAGCGACACATTAGGTGCAGAATCTACGGATTTATGTGTTTTTTTTAAGTACTATCAACTTTCTCTCTCTGGGTTGCTATTATTAATTTATTGACAGGAAAATGTTGTCACAATTCCTAGCTCGACTCCTGATTAAGATTTAAGATCTCAGAATCTTTGATCGCCGTATTTTATTTTCATTCTGGTTATTTCATAAGTAATCATATTTGAAAATCAGCCTTTTTTATCCGACTTCCAAAAGTAGGAGGTTCTCAATTCGTCGGAATCTTTTTTTTATGTATGTTCACCGATTACTCGAAGACGCTAGAACCGATTTGGATTTTTTTTGTTTCAAAGGTAGTCCTTCATAGTCTTCCTAGTCTTCCTAGGTAGTCTCATATAAATTTTATCGAAATCAATCGAACGGCTTTTTGAAAAATCAACAATAAATATATTTTTTAAATAAATTGTTTCATCTTAATTGTTTCGTTATAGTCATTATATAATAGGATCTTTCAATTAACTTTTCACCTTAAAGAACAATATGTGTTGTTAGGGAGCTTTGGGAGTCCAAACCAACACTTTTTCTTAACTTACCCTTTATGTTGTCAATGCATAAATATTATAATATATCTTCCGGAAATCATACCCGCATCCTCCAACATAGCAATTTGTGTGAAGCGCAATTCACATGCTATGACGGTCGTGAATCAATAAACACTATAGGCGCCATGGGATACTTGTCGCTAATATTTTTATACTCCCTCTATACTCAGCTCGTAAATCATAGGCCAGTTTACAACGTGCCTGTAAACCGAAGGTTTACGATCGGTGATGCTCCACATTGATGTACCGCACTGGAAACGACAAAAATCTATATTAATATTTTATAAATTAAACGACGTATGTGTGATTTTTGATTAAAATAAATATTGTGTTTACAGTTCATATTATTCAGAAAACCGACTGGCTGGAGCCAATCTAAGTCAGTATAAAATCAAGCGTTGAGGCATGGCTAGTTGGTGCATCTTCGGCGGGCGGTGTATCATGCGGGTGGCTTCTGATACTTCTCTGACCGCAGAGTGAACTGTTGAAGCAACTCCAGGTTAGTTGTTGTGGTTGCCTCGACAAACCTGCCGTCGGGGCGTCCTGGTTGAGTGCGTAAGCGATCCTGCGACGACCCGTCTTAACGGGGGAGGTTTTGTTAGTACTGGCTTTTCTAGATGGTGTGATGAGGTGTGAGGATGGGTGAGAACCTTTCTGGGTGAGTGTGGGACTCACCGTCTGTATGTCTACAGGTGGTATGCTTGAACGCAATTCCTAACATTAAAAAATGGCTCCTTGGTGCATCAAAGAATCAAAAACAAATCAAAGCTAGTTTTTGCACATGTATTAATCGGACGACTATTATAAATACAAAAGCAAGTGTATGTATGTTTGTCACTTCATCAGACTGTACTTCCTGTCATGGCTGGACCGTGTAAGAAGCTAATTATAACAATAAAAGTGATAGTGGACAATGTTTATCCTGCTCCAAATATTTAAATGTTCCTTCCATACATTCTATATGTCGAACTCCGACCCCTTGACCCGTCGTTAATCACCTCTCAGCACTGTTAACTCGGCTAACTCTGTTAACACGGGCGGCCGTGTACAACGCGTCGAGAGCATCGTTTAACTGCTACAGTTATATTACGGTTTTTACTAACCTTTTATTAGCTTATCACTCATGTTATTGTTGTAATTTTTTTACGTGTCTCATAAATAAAGAGAAGAGTAGAAAGATTTTGGAAATATTTGCATACAAAATGCTAGTTAACTGTTTGATTTTATTTTAAATCCCTATATTATGGGTTTAAAAATAAATAAAATAGTATACTTATAATATTACTAGCCACAACACGCGGCTACGCCCGCGTTCAATCTACTAAAAATAAACTCTTTGGCTTTATGTTATACAGCTATGTGTTTATATAATATTGTTCATATATCTATACTCTCTAGACTCTATAGTGTAGAATTTTTGTTTCTTTGAACGCGCTAAGCTCTGGAACTAACAGTTAGGTTTGAAAATCCTTTTTGTATTTTATAACCTATGTATCTATAGCTTATTATTTAATTGTAGGCTTTCTAACATTACACTACAATGCTTAGGAGTCAAGTTATTATATGTAGGAGTATATAGATAAACACCGCAAACGAAGTCGCTAGCAATTATACATTAAATTGTAATTTCAGAAGGAAGAATAAATATAACAAAGCTTAGAGGCAATTTATAACCATTTATACTTATTCGAGTAATATAGCATTAATATATAAGTAAAGTTAAACACACTAAGTGTTCAACTTTTGATGTGCCATTAAAAAACAAGAAACTTGGAGAATAATGAAAGTTAATGAACAAACAGAATTAAGCATGAAATAATAAAACCCTTTATTGCGACACGTAGAATTTGAAATAAGCCCAAATAAAACGATTAAAATACAAAACTTAGATCAGCTCGATTTCTATTAATGAGGAGGTCTCAGGAAAGAGCTGTAAGCGGCTTTAAATATTTAAGAAAAAAAATGATAATCACTATCACACTATTGAAATGTGGATGTTCGAATGTGTGTGCTATGTTTGTATATTTGATATTTCTCCTGACCAATCACTATGACTTGTAATAACAAATAGGCTTATAATTTGCCAAACAGATTTAACTGGAACTGGAATAGAACTGTAGATTGTGTCACGTTAACGCATCAATTGCTTTTTACTAACGTACCTGTGGAGTATCGCACGAGCGGAGTCGCAGGCAAAACTAACGATAAAAACATCACTCATATGACCGCGGTTCCACTATGAATGATTTATAATCTTTATTATAAAAAGGACTTAAGTAAAAATAATACATTAAAGCTATAAAAATGCTATAAAAAAGATAATAATGAAACTAAAAGGCTATTTTTCCATATAATAACCATAAGGTTATAACTTACACCATACACTAAGAGTTGCTTGAGACAATAACGCTGTTGGGCAAACTTCATCCCATCAATTTTATTATCCAAGTTTGGTAAGTTCACCCCAACTTGCCATTCTGCCTTCGCGTCAGCGAATGGGACAAGGAAGATGATATGGTAATCAATTGTTTGAGTTACTTATATAATGGTTGATGTATTTTTGAATGAAAAAACTTTGAGCAATTTTCAATATCACATGGATCAGACTTTTGTTACTTTAATTACATTGATTGTGTAAAGAAAGTAAGAAAATGCAACTTGTTTTTCCCATAGTTAATTGAAATTTGTTTGTGGCATTTTTCTATTATGCGAAGTGTCTATTCACATTTTCAATTTGACGACACAATTGTCCTACTATCTTTTTGTCTTTGGTGCAGACATTATGAATTATTTGTTCCTATTATTTTACTTTAACGGAAAAGTATGTACTACATTAATGTGTCTTTTCTAGTTTTTATGTTTGTTAATTAATACAGACAAACAGTAGACAGTGTTTTATAATATTTTTCCAATAATATCGTTTTTGGTTTTGGTTCATATGTTAGGCAATCCAATAACGCACGTACATACATAAATTCTAATTGTCTGTATTGTTTTTGGGATACTCGTAGTACATATTAGAATAAAAATTTATTAAATTAAAGAGTTCGTTACTAAAAACACAAATATATATCTTTTTTTAATTTAAAAGTTACAGATTCCGCTTAATTTACCTCCGAAACTTTTGAGCCTTAAATTTCAAGATATAAATAAAATTCATTTATTATATTTAGCAGGAAAATGACTCCACACGAAAACTAGTTAGCTTCTCTCTGATATGCAGGTTTTCCTACAATATTTTCATTTATCATCATACCATACATAAGAGGTGATCATGTTGAAAATCTTACGAGGTGCAAAACCTAGAATTCGAACCGGCTTCATTTGCTTTTTCAAGCTGCACCAGTAGTTTACAGAATGTTTTTTTTGGGGAAATCCGAACCGCACTTATATAAGATTTATTCTTGGTAGTTTCTCAAATTTACAACCCTAAAAAAGGCATATAAATGACATGTAACATTTAACCCGAATCAAAGGTCTAATATATTGAAAGGGAAATTAAAACGATTCGAAGTAAGAGAGAAAAAGCTCGGGATTAAGAAATCAAGGAGCGGATGTGGACGAGAGGATAATCCGTACTGATGGATCGCTGACCTTAATCTGTTTTTACCGTTTTTGAGTATTTTCCTCGGCCCCTTTTTGCCAATTTAAAATAACTTTACTATAACTGGAAAAGTTAGACTAAAAGAAATGTCTTCTTATTTAACTATTAAAGCTTATTGGCTAGAGATTGGGAGTTGGAACAACAAAAATTGTTATTGTTCTTATTCTACTTATGTCTATTTTTAGAAGAACCTTGTTATAATTTATTTTGTACATATAACAAGTTATTGTTTGTTTCCCGAATAAAGGATAAATATATGAATAAAAATAAAAAATATCCAACAGATTCCATTTCATAATTTAAGATACAATAAAAATAAATCTCTTTGCTAAGCAGTTTTCATTTTACTAGATCTGATAACTTTTAAAGTGCATCATGCAAGCATGCATAAAGTAATATTTTATTATAATTTACGAACACAAAAACATATAGAAACGATAAATTATATTGTATATATATTTATATATTTTTAATTAATAACTATTATATATAATAAATAATGGTACTTTACTCATGTGATATTATAAAGTACAAAAGAGAAGGGTTAGTCTAAAACATTTATTCCATAGTTAATATAGTTAGAGGAAGAGTTAGTAATTTATTTCGGTAATCGAGTAATTTGTCGACGTGGATTGGACCCATTTGTTTTCAGGTGAATCTTCACCCCGACCTGTACATTAGGTACGTTATTTCATAGCGTAGCTTATAACAATATTTTTGAGCTTTGTGTAAAATTAATTTGAAGCTTTTAAAGCTTTTATTATTGTAATATGCATGTTCTTAAGTAATTTATGCTATAATATAATAATTATAGAAATTATAATATCATGGCTTCTACGAGATACACGATTTTGTTTGACAAATACACAATAGTTTGAGAATGGAGATAAAGAGATTTGTTATATTTATTTTTATATATATGTATATGTATATTTGTATGTGTATGAATAAAGGCAAGAATATATTTTGATTGCATAGTTACAACGTAACAAACATGCAAACAAAATATCTGTATTGTCACATTAATAGTATGAAATAATGTATGTACCAATGCATCAATATTCGTAGGCTAACCTAACCAAACACTGTTATTACGTCAAATAATCATCTAGTTTACCGAATAACCTAGGTTTTAATAGGCATTGTGAATTTGCCTAACTCAATCCTATCTATTTACCTCCAACATACGTATATAGGTTCGTAAATGGCACCACTTGCCGTTTGTCCATTCTAAATCCCTATTCGGTAAATCATACGACATATTAAGAATTTAATGTTTTTTTATCTATAATTGTACTAGAAAGTATTCAGTTATACACTACACCTAATATCTAAATATGGTCTCTATATTTTGTCTGTGGCACAATTAAAATTGGTGAAAGTTAATTTAATTATTCTATTATGCTCTTATTTAAATTAATCACACTGTAAAATATCAAACAAATAAACACGCACTTACACACACATGCACTAAGAACGCCACTTACTCATTCACAAAATATAAAATTTATAATATTAGTATGATAACAAATAAAATTCAGATACGCACCGGAATATGGATTTATACACGTATGGCTGTGGTTAATCATTGCTATGGCTTAACAAGCTAGTTTAGTGAATCGTCTAAAAAACATATTATTTGTATGAGCATATATAAATATATAATGTCTATATATGTATGTGCGATATTGTAGCATTTCGCTCACTATGTATTTGAAGATATTTATTTTAAGAAAGATCGATATAACCAAGATATTTACTAGTTAAAAAAATTACGTTTAATTGAATAATAGACTTAAAAATGTCTAGATCGCAGAGTTCTTTAGATTTTATAAAATACATCTATACGAGTATTCCTTTAAAATATTACTTGAGGATGAGATATATTTTTATATTACTAATGGGTATCCAGAATAAGCCCACACTGTCAGAGCGAGCAAATACTGAAGCGTCGCGGCGACACGACGCACGCATTAGCCCGAGAGCCTCTACAACTAGCGTCCACTTCACTAGCTGAATTAGATCACGAGTTTAATATATAATATAGATACATATTGAATGATATTATCTGTATAGGTAAATCAAATTGAAATACCTGTTTGTAACGTCAAAATAATAGCTTTTTATAAATGTATTTTTTTAATGAAATGATATTCGATCCTTATAAGAAACCCACAATTTTTTTTGTCTGTCTGTCTGCCTGTCTATTTGTTCTGGCTAATCCCCGAAACAGCTGAACTGATTTTGTTGGGACTTTCAGTGGCACATAGCTGATGTTGTAAGGAGTAACTTAGGCTACTTTTTACTTTAGAAAAAGGATTAAATAAAACATACTTAGGTACTTAGTACTTACGTCAGCACGAAGCTAAGCGAGGGAAAGTTGATAGTACAGAAAAAAATTAATAGGATTTGTCATTACGAATTAAATAAGCCTTAATTCGATTCTGCAAAGCCTTTGAAA